ACCCCACCTTTAAATCTCAGTAGTGCAGGTGGCTCACAAAGGCTGTAAACGATGAGGAATTGAGAGACCAGCGTTGACACACACACACCAGCACCCACCCCCGCCCAGGTGTAAAACCCATAGCTCCTGGAAGCTGCTGTAACCACGAGGAGCTCAGCTCCAGGCTGTGATGGTCCAGGGCGGCGGGGGGCGGGGGGGGGGGGGGCGCAAGAGGAGGGGACGTATGTGGCTGATTCACGTTGTCTACAGCAGAAACACCGAAACACAATTACACTCCAGTTTAAAAATTAAGTACAGGACTGTTGACTGTAGGTAGTGTTGTACAGACCTCGAACTCACTCATCTTTTTTAAAATTTAATTTTATTTTGGAATATAGTTGATTTATGATGTTTTAGTTTCAGGTATATGTGCATTTTTTTAAGATTCTCTCCCCATATAAGTCATTACAGAATATTGAGTAGAGTTTCCTGTGCTTTATAGTAGGTCCTTGTTTGATTATTTTACATATAGTAGTGTGTATCCCTTAATCCTAAATTCCTAATTTGCCCCCCCGCCCCCAAACACATTTCCGCTTTGGTAACCGTAAGTTTGCTTTTCACGTCTGTTGAAAAACAGACTTGTTGACTCTGTTTCAGTTTGTAAATAAGTTCATTTGTATCATTTTTTAGACTACATGTAAGTGATACCACATGATATTTGTCTTTGACTTCCTTCACTACTAAGTATGATAATCTCTAGGTCTGTCCATGTTGCTGCAAATCACAATATTTCATTCTTTACAGCTAATATCCCATTGTGTGTGTATGTGTATATATAGACATATATCTTTATTATGTTAATATATAACATATACATTAATGTATGTATACATGTATGCATTGATGTATATATACATGTATCTATATGTATGTATTTATATATACACACACACACACTTGTTTTTATCCATTCCTTTCTCAATGGACATTTAGGTTGCTTCCGTTATCTTGGCTGTTGTAAACAGGGCTGCAGTGAACATTAGGGTGCGTATATCTTTTCAAATTACGGTTTTGTCCAGATAAATGCCCAGAAATGGGATTGCAGGGTCATATGATAGCTCCATTTTTAGATTTTTAAGGCACCGCCATACTGTTCTCCATTGTGATTATACCAGTTTACATTCCCACCAATGGTGTAGGAGGGCTACCTTCTCTCTCCACCCTCTCCAGCATTTATTGTTCCTGGAGTTTTTGACGTTAGACAATTCTGATCAATGTGAGGTGAACCTCATTGTTATTTTGATTTGCATTTCTCTAATAACTAGCAATATTGAACACCTTTTCGTGTACCTCTTGGCCATCTGTATGTCTTCTTTGGGGAAATGTCTACTTAGGTCTTCTGCCCACTTTTTGATTGGGTTTTTTATTACATAGAGCTACATGAGCTGTTTGTAAATTTTGCCAATAGTCCCTTGTTGGGTGCTTTGTTTGCAAATATGTCCTTGCGTTCTGTGGGTTGTCTTTTGGCTTTATTTATGGTTTCCTTTGCTGTGCAAAAAACCTTTTTAAGTTTCACTAGGTCCCACTTGTTTATTTTTGTTTTCATTTTGATTAGGAGATAAGATACTGCTGTGATTTATGTCAAAGTGTTCTGCCTGTGTTTTCCTCTGGGAGTTTTATAGTATCTGATCTTTAGTCCTTTTTGAGTTTAGAACTTATTCAACTGAGACATTTTGCCTGTCGATTAGTAACTCCCTACTCACCCCTCCCTCATCCTCTACTTTCCACCCTTCGGTTCTTGGAGTTTGACTATTTCAGACACCTCCTATAATTGGAATCATGCAGTTAGTTATGACTGGCTTATTTCATTTAGCAGGACACTATACTCTCACATATGTCAGCATTTCCTTTTTTCTTGTAAGGCTTGAATATTGCTTTGTATGAATGAAACTCATTTTTTTAATCCATTCATAGAGATCTAAGTTATTAATAATTGCACATCTTGGCTGTCGTGAATCAGGCTGAAGTGAACATGGGAGTGCAGAGAGAGCACTTCCAGATCCTGATTTCTGTTCTTTTGGATAAATATTTATCCTACCCTAGAAGCCATTCAAAGCCGACAAGACACTTGCCTGAGGAAATGCAGTGAACTTTCTCCTCACTCCCACGGTGTCATCTGTGAGTGGCAGCCCCGGGCAGGCAACCCCTCCATCCCTCTCCCCTCTGCTAATCCTCACACAGCAGGTTCCTTTGGAGAAACCAAATGAAGTACCAAAGTCCTGGCCCCATGCCTCATAACTGTCCCCCACTCCAGCCTTTCTCCAGTCCTGCAAGGAGCCGGCTCCTCCAGGGACCACAGGCCCTCACCACCCAGCCAGGCAGGAGAGTTGGGGCAGAGAGATTTGAAGAGGCTGCCCTGCTGGCCTTGAAGATGGAGGCAGGGGACATGACCCTTAGAGTGCCGGCAGCCTGTAGAAGCTGGGAAGGCCAGCTTCTGGCCTTTAGAATCTCCCTTAGAGCCTTCCGGGGCTTCCCAGTGATAGCTTACGGTGAACGATGTAGGATTCGTGATCTCCAAAGGAGATAGAGCTTCAGGACCAGGCTTGATCACTCAAGAGCTTTTGTGTAGCAGAGTTTTATTAAAGTATGAAATGAGAGAGAGCAAGCTTCTGACACAGACAGCAGAAGGGGGCGGAGAGTGCCCCCCTCCCCCCGCTAGTCTAAGCAAGGGAGTTAGATAATTTTTTAATTGGTTATTACAATAAATGAAAAGAATGTCTCAAGGTTGTAAAGATGTTACCAGACCCACTCCCATAATATACATTCTAAGATAACAGGATTAATCTGAAGGTTTTCAGGAAGGAGAAACTGTTCTCAAGCAGGATACATTGTTGTTATATAATCTTTAGTACAGAGTTTAAGCTGAGCTGTTTGTTGTGTAATCATCAGTTCTGGGCTTAAAGAAAAAATTAGTGACTATGACTAAGGAATGTAGAGGAAAAAACAGACGTTTGTTCTTTCCTCCTCCTTGAGAATTCCAGACCCCACCAGCTAATGCAGGTACAATTCCTGGGTCGGGAAGATCCCCTGGAGAAGGGAAATGGCAACCCACTCCAGTATGCTTGCCTGGAGAATCCCATGGACCGAGGCGCTGGGCAGGATACAGTCCATGCGGTCGCAGAGTCAGACACTACCGAGCACACTGCTGGTTCCAAATGGTACATCTTGGACATAGCCTCATGAGACCCACTGGGGACTGCTGGCCTCCAGAGCTGTAAGACATCTCGGTGTGTTGTAATAAACCACGCAACTGTGTGGTAATGTGTTAGAGCAGCTGCGGGAAATAAAGCCAAGTTCACCGCCCCAGCCCTGTGTGCCTGGAGCGGCGACCTTGGCAGCGGGCACCTCAAATGCAACCAGGCCATGGACTCCCCACCTTCTTGAGTCCTCCAGCTGCTGCCTCCACTCAGGGCCCCACCCCCCATTCCAGGCACTTCCTGCCTTGCTTGGGACTCCCCACTCAGGCAGGCTTTGTACCCTAAGTCTTAGAGCGAGCGCATGATGTTTCTAGCCCTCCTTCGGACTGTGAGCTCCACAGGGCCTGGGAGAATCCGTTTTGCTCACTGTGTAGCCCTAGTGCCTTGCACAGTGCTTGGCCCACGTGGGTGCACAGAGATTCATGGAGTAAACAAGTGTATCCTTCAGGTGTTTCCCGTATACCCTCTCTACTGTGCCTTAGCGTGGTTTGGAATTGAGAAAGGGAATATTTCCTGCCATAGCAATAAACAAAGGCTATCATAGGCATCAGTAATTATGGATGGTGACCCCCCTGAGGAAACTCAGGAAGGAAAGAATACCCACCATCTCGCCGCCATCAGACTGCAGGCACTCCCTACAGTGAGCCCCTAGGAAACTCAGACACTGGCCCCAGACAGCTGAGGTGCACATCAAAGGAATCATTTCAGTGAGCCTGGACTCGCATCTTCCCGTACATAAAGTGAAGTCGCTCAGTCGTGTCCGACTCTCTACGACCCCATGGACTGTAGCCCACCAAGCTCCTCCATCCATGGAATTTTCTAGGCAAGAGTACTGGAGTGGGTTGCCATTTCCTTCTCCAGGGGATCTTCCCAATTAGGGGTCGAACCTGGGTCTCCTGCACTGTGGGCAGACGCTTTACCATCTGAGCCACCAGGGAATCCCGTACATAGAAAAGCGCTAAATCCCTTGAGATACCTGGTTTTCTTTAAATAACAACCACCTTTTGGCATTCAGACTACCTGCCCTTTGTTGCAAAACTTTTTAATACATATAACCTGGCTCCCCGCCCTGCCCCCCCCCAGCAGTTCTCTCAGGGACACTTGAGATGCTCTCTCTCGGTTTGAAGTCCAAATATTCCCGATGAATAAAACATAACTCTCAGCTTTTAGGTTGTATTTTTTAAGTCTGCAGAAGCATATACCCTCACTGGTCCGTAAACGCACGTCTGTACCACCCCTTTGTTCACTGGCTGCTGCCGTCTTGTGATGTAGGGGTTTTATATCCAGTACCAGCGAGCCCCTCACATTGCACTCACAAGTAGTTTCTTATTTTTGGCTCTTTCACAAAGTGCTTTCGTAAACGCCCTCACAATTAGACGTGGGCAGACCTCTGATTATTCTTTTAGGACCAGCTCCACCGGAATTCCCTCTCCTGGGTTTTCGCATCTTTTGACTTTTAAATGCAGTGTTCTCCAAAGCAGTTTTATTCTTTCTCTTTGACTTTGAAATGTGCCTTTGCTGGAAGATCAGTGAAAATGGTGAGAAGAAAGCCAAGACCAGAACCTTCTTTCATCGACTTAAAAGAGGGTCCGGAACTGTGGCCCCACAACTGTGCTGGGCACGATAGACAGGAAGTTCATTTCTCCAGGTCTTTCTCGCCGCCCCGCCGCCATTCCCCTCTCCCGCCCTGACGGCTGCCCTGCCTGTGGCCACTTGCCCTCAGAACTCCTGACTTACCCTGATTCTCCCCACTCTGTCTTACAGCGACATCACCCCTGCTGGAGAGGCGCTAACCAAGAACAGCCGGCCCAAAGTGGCTTCCCGCTTCCCCAAGCTATCCCGAGGTCACCCCAGGGAGACACGCAACGTGGAGCCCCAGAGCGGTGACCTCTGACCTCGACGGCACCCCGGACTCGGGCCTTACGTGCTGCGCCAGCTGTCTCCAGCCCGGCCACGGCAGCTGGCCCCTGCCGCCTCGGAGGGACCACCCTACCCCCACCGGTGAACCCCAGAGCACACCTGCCCCGCCGGGCACATAACACCCCGATTAAACTGGGCCGTGTGAGAGCAGGGCGGCTCTTCACTGGACAGATGTGGGCCCTGCTCTCCCCGCGCCCCGCCTGGGGCTTCAAGGGCCAGACGTTCCCCTCCCTCTAGCCCAGAGGCCATCCAGAGGGTGGGCACCGGGTCAGGCTCAGAGCCCCCTGGTCACGATGCACAAGTCTGTCTCATTTGGTCAGAAGGTTCAACTCACTCTTGACTCTTTCCCACGTGGGAATTCGAATGACTGTTACTCCCCCCCCATTTAATGTAATTGCCTGCTACAACCTATGAACACGGAGGGTTGCGGGGTGGGGGGGGCAGCTAGCTCCTTTCCACGCACGCCCTACCAGTGGTCAGTAGACACCCTAGTTCTTGCCACCAAGCTCCAGGGAGACAGTCCTGTGGCCTTCGTGCAGCGGGGCCATTAGGGATGGGGAACTGTGGCTCTTGGAGAACTTCCTACCTCCTCTCTGGGTGGTTCTGGAAGGACTGGCCCCCGTAGGAAGCCCGCGTGCACCTGGTCAGGCCAGCCGTCAGCAGCAACCTAGTGACCTGCACCGGAAAGCCCTGGGCTATCCAGGTGTTGGTGGCCTCGGCCGCAAAAGCCGAGAGGAGAGTCCTCAAGGCTTTGAGAGACTCGGTTCCGGGAAGCACTCCAGAAGGTTCTGGGGGCCTCTAGGGGTTCCGTGGAGCTCAGCGTGACTCTCTGTGAACTTATGTGAACATGACTCACTCCGAACAAATCATGATTGTCCCCTAAAGACGGTGCATGTGTTGTCGGCCAGTATGCTCTCGGTGGGAGCAGGGCCCTGGGTGCACCCCAAGGTTGACCCCTCTGCTTCTCCGATTCAGAGAGCATCCCCCTGCCATGAGCAGCAGGTGGGAACAGGAAGAGGAGCAGAGTCAGATCGCCCCCGTGGGACCAGAGCTGTTTGGACAGTTTTAACATCCAGAAACGTGGAACTCTCCCCGACCCTGGGCAGGAGCCACCCTCAGCTGCTGATACAAAGAAGAACGAAAAGGCGGCATAACTGTGTGAAATGCAGAGGGCTGAGCACGCCTCAGCTCACGCCTGGGTGAGCAGCGTGGGTCATCATCGAGTGCGCAGTGGAGACCCTGGAAGGGACGGCCTGGAGGGGCTGTGCCGCGTGCCCCCCTGCTCACCAGAGGGAGGCTTGTCAGAGCTGACATTCGCACATGGCCCTCCAGGGACGCGAGGAGGCTGGAGCAACTTCGGAGGAGACATTCTACCTGGTTAACCAGGCCCGGGGGAGCGACACAAGCTGGCTGTCCTCCGTGGATGGAGGTGGGAGTGTGTCTACGTGGGGGCCCTGCTGTCAGCCCATGGGGTCAGAGGACCCGAGGGACGCCATGTCCTAGAAAGGCAGCGTGGTTCCTCTCCCCATCGTGCACCGAGGGATCCACTGCACATGCGCCGTGTCGGAATTCCCACGCTCCACAGCACTGCCTTGAACGCGGAGCCCTCTTCCACCCAGGCCTCCAGGACCCTCTGGAAGTTCCAGCTGCCCCAGAGCTCCACCCCACATGTGGGTCCCTCCACAGGGGTCACTTTGAGGCCAGCTGACGGCTGCACAGCCAGATCTGAACCCAGGGTGTCTCCGCTCTGTTCACATGAGACCCAGGAGGGATCCAGCGCCCCGACATCTCCAGGGCCAAGGATTCTGATCAGCCAGGCTGTGTTGGCGCCTGACCCCAAACACATCCGAGTACAATTTCTAGCCTCTTCTTCTCCAACTACCCCACCAGGAAGCGGCTTTGACATTCTGCGCATGGAGTGAAAAAACACCAAAAAAAAAAAAAACAAAAAAAAAACGGCACCCAGAGCTACGACAGACAGATACTGAGTGGGAACACAAGAGCACTCTCGGGCTGCATTTGGAAAGGAGAAGCTCTGCCTTCCTGTGTTTAAAGCTTAATTATTCATGGGAAGCTTGCCCTGCCCTCCCAAATGCGGGTTGTAGAAAGCATGTTCCGATGGGCCCTGCGGGGGCCCCTCCAGGCTGCTTGCCCTCTGTGCCCCCGTTTCTGTGACCCTGCAGAAACCTCGATCTTCAATCCATCTGGTTTCAGCTCAGATACGCGTGTGACGTGCGCATCACAGCTCCTCCTCAAAGCCTTACCTCTGGAGTCACACGGAATGTTCTGCCATGATATAGCCCTGCCAGGGCTGCGGGGGCAGACCCCCAGCTCCTGGAGAAAGAAAACAAAACCCCGAGGCCCAGGCCGAGACCTGGGCACAGAATGCCACGGCTTCAGAGAAGCCGTGTCATCGTCGTGCATCAACCCCGATCTAGGTCAGAAGGCAGGATGCCTCCCCGCCCCCACCCCGAGACCCATCAGGTGAAAGACAGCGCCCCCCGCCCTACACACTCGCAGGACCAGCTGACATTGGCTTCTGCCTCCTTGGTCAAATCAGAAGATTCTTTGGCACCTAAGAAAGCACTCCCCATTCTTCAGAAAGGAACGGAAGGGCCCTTCTGTCTCCAGAAGGCCTTGGCCCTCTGGCGCCCCCCTCCACTGGGAGCAGGAAGCGCCCCTCCAAGTCCCCAGGGCACAGCCCAGCAGGCTGTTCAGGAGCAGGCTGTTCAGGGGCGGCTTCAGCCGGATCGGGACAGAAGCCCAGCCGGGTCCAGCTGCACCTGCATCTTGTCTTGTTCCCTCCTTTTCCCCCACGTGGAAGGAAAGCACAGAAAAAGCAGACACACCTCCTCTTAAGAGAAAACCAGAGCTCCCAGGGAGCGAGGGCTTAGGCTGGTGTACACCTCGCCCTGAAGCACGCTTTCTCAGCCGCTGCTCCCGGAGCCCCTGTGGAATCCTGGCCTGAAACCGCACAGATCTCTCTACAGTCAGGCCCCGGGGGAGGAGGCAGCTTTCCCGAGAGGCTGTTGCACACCACAGTGGTCGCCGTGAATACCATAGCCTGGCCCATCTAAGGGCTTCCTGGCCATAGAAGGATCCCTGATGGAGCTGCAGAGACGGAATACCATCTTGTGAGTCCTGGCAAGAGGTGCAAACAGTGAGGGAGAGGGCGGTGGGCCAGGGTGTGTGGACCAGGTGTGGTCACCCAGGGCAGGCCCCGCGGCCCCGCTCGGGGCCCGTAGGATGCCTTCTTTGATAACCGCTGGATTTGACAGCACTGCCAGGCTGTGTTGTGCCTTTCAGAACACAGAGGCGATCAACGTTGTTTACATCCCGGGACTGGTAACACAGCTGCAGCCAGTTCTGAGGCAGCGGGCACTGGAGGCCCAAGGATTCATCCCCAGGTTTTGGACCCAGAAACAGGAAGGAAAACCCTCCGGCCAGCCCAGAGGATCCAAAGCTGTGCTGCTTTTGTCTCCTGACACCCAGCACCCTGGGATCTGTGGCCCGGGGTGGCCTTGCATCCTCTTTCTCATGAGACAGTGTACCCACCAGGGGGCCCGGTCACAGGGCCCCAGGCCTCAGCAACCCCCATGTCACCTGCTCACCTTCACAGGGGTGCAGCTGCCAGCTGGCCCCACACCTAGAAGCCAGAGCCCGTTCTCCGGTCCCAGTAGACCTCTCCTAACCAGTCACCTTCAGCATCCTTCATCCCTCAGCCCGGCAGCTTGGCGCCAGCACCGGTGCATGGGCGGCACCTTCCCCTGGAAGGGGCGTCTCACCTGGGCGTGTCACTGACAACCCCTGTATTCTCAGCCTGGAGCTGGGATGGGCAGCCTCTAAGACCTATCAGAGAAGGACCCTGCCCGGAAGCATCAGGTGAGCTCAGAGCTTTCTTGAAGGAGCATGCCACGCTCAAGCTTCTACCCCAAAGGCAATACTTATCTTGACTCTGCCTCAGCGCTCCCCCCCCGGATGGTGCCACCCATGCTGGACCTTACCCCCGGCTGGGTGCCCCCAGCAGACAGGCATCTGCTCACGAGCAAGGCCTTTTGCAACGATCCTTTTTCAAAATATTGCGCTAAGTGTCTGCTGTTCAGATTGGCTTTCTGTGCTAATTGCGCAGTTGTAGCACTGTATATTTTATCTAACGTTACCATGCCAAAACCTTCATTTTTCCTGTTTCCCTAACACGTGGTCTTGATCATGTTTCTAAAAGAAAACTTGAGCTGCCGGATAGATAGGAGCGAGCAGGGAGCACTGCCCATCGCCACGCTCTGAGCAGAGCAGCTGTCTGCCCAGCCCACAGTGGTGGAAATGCCCTGGCTCAGTTCATCTCGGCATTTCGGATCATCCTGTTTACCATGCATGCCTGTTGCCAGGAATGGGCCTGATTTTTGTAGTTCTTAATTCTAACAACCACATTGAATGGGTTTCCTTTACATACTCAATCCATTTCTGAAGAAGAAAAAAAAAATCTGGTTTTTCTAAAAGATGGGTGAGCTTATAGCAAGGCTGAGCAACCCCACTAGAAGAACAGAAGAATGGCCAGATTCACGAGGGTTTCAAGGTCCAGGGATTCAGTTGTTTCTGGCACAGGGATGATTTGCCATCCTCACTGAAGACCACTAGCTGACCTGCCATGATGCCCCCCTTGCTCTCAGATCCATCCCTGCCTTCACGAACTGCAAGGGGAGAAGCCACATCCCTCTGGCAATTCTGTCTGCCATCGCTGGAGGCCATACAAGGGGACCTTTGCCACATCTGGGACTGAAGACAGAGAAGATGGGGGATCGCACATTTGCAACTAGCGTTGAGATGAGCTGGAGAATGGGCATTGCCAGGGGTGAGGGGGTGGTGGAGCTAATTAGGGCTTCTTATTGCCTGGGATCCATCCTAGAAAGAATGTCTTTACCTCTGTAACCTTAGTGGCACCATCTCTGGCATCACCATTTGGTCAAACACACTGCT